AATGGGAGCGTGCCGCGCCGTGCGAGTGCTGCCGCAGCCCAGGCTGGAGATGGCAGCCGGGTTGTGCCAATGCTCCTGCTCGGGCTAAAGCCACGGGGTCCCAGCTAGAGGGTCTTGTGCCTCTCCTCAGGCTCACACTCGGACTGATGCTGCATCGGGACAGAAAGATGATTTCCCCCTGGTGCGGACTGGGGGGTTTTGCTGTCCTCTGCAGCAGGGGCTCAACCTCTGCCTGGGATCTCTTGTGCGTCTATTAACAACCCTGATTTATGCGAGCACCTGCAGCCGGGGGCCTTGCACCGACGGGTGCTGGGCGTGCAGAATCGGGCCCCCTCCCCTCCAGCCCCTGCTCGCTGTCCCTGCAGCCGCCGTCTCACGGTGCCTGCGTGGCTCTGGCTGCCTGACGGCTGGGAAGTGATGGCCCGCGACAGCTGCGTCCCCTTCCCAGGGTGCGAGGTGGGGTCGAGCTGGGCTCTTGGCCATTGCGTGAGGCGCTTGGGGGAAATTCCTCCGAGCACATGAGTCGGGGACAGGGCTCTCACCGCTCATCCTTTGTGGGGCCCTCCTAGCCCAAGCCCCCTGGGTGGGGTGGGCCCCCCCCCCCGCTTCAAGGCGGTGGCCTCCGGGCGCCCCACTGGGTGCTGCACCACTGAGTGCTAGGAGCTGCACGTACCGTGTGTGGATGTGTGTGCATCTGCACATGCTGGGGCATGCCTGTGCCTGCAGAGCTCACGTAGCAGCATCCATTTGGTTTGGTTGTGTCTGACCGGCCTTTGGTTTTAGCACTCAGACCCCCCTGAACTACTGGGAGAATACGGAAAAATCCCTTCCCTCCTGGTCAGCCTTGGCCCTAAAGATGCCCTTATTGTCTCCCTGGCTGTGCGAGTGTGAAGGGGGTGCATGTGCATGTGAAAGGCTGACGGCACATGTGCGTTGGGAAGGTGCAGGGGTGTACATGCATCTGACTGCAAACGACTTGCTGGGCACGGGGGTGCGTTTGCAAGAAGGAGAAAAGGGGTGGATGTGGTGGGTGCGACGGTGAGAGGCTGGAGTGAGTGAGCGAGCGCAGATGCTTTGCAAAATCTGTGCGTGGTGGGTTGTGGGGGGGACGTGGCTGTCGGTGCGTGTCGGATGTGGCTGAGTGTGTGTGTGTGTGCGTGTGCATCTGTGCCCCCCAGCCTCTCCCTCCCAACCCCTGTGGCTGCGGGCCCGGAGCTGCCAGGCCCCTTGCTCAGCCCTGGGGCTGGCGCGTATTTTTAGCCGTGACATGTGTCACCTCAGCTGCTGCGCGGGGAGGAGCGGGAGGGGCGGCCGGGGGCTCCTCCGTGCCTCTGGTCTCTCGCTGCCTTGGCTCTTTCTGCTTGGGAGGACCGCCGAGCCGCTCGCAGAGACGGGCGCCCGTCTGTAGGACCGCGACCCTGAGCCCGCCGGTGTAGACGGTACTGTCCCCACCATGAGCCCTGGGGGAAACGGGGGTTGGGACCTTGGAGACGAGCATCGCTTTTGGGTTCCAAAATGGACTTTTTTGGGAGTGCGAGTCGCCGGGCTCAGGGAGGTGGCGGGGCTATTTTTAGCGAGGAATGGAGGGCAACAGGAGCAGGCCGGGACGCTGTGCCCGGGGGCTGAGCGCTAGGCAAGGGCAGGCGCTGCTGTTAAAGGGGACTATCTCCCTGTTTCGGGCTGGTTTTTGGGGGGAGAGGTGCCTGCTTTGGAACCGTTCATCAGGGCAAGCGCGGAGTAGATCTGCCCTCTGCCCCGGCTCCCTACGGAGGAGAACGTGACGCCTCGTTCTCGGTGCTCGGGCTCGTGTTTCTGGGACAGCGGGAATGGACCAGGCCTGTCTGCCTGGCCCCGCCGGGCTCTCGGGTGGCCTGAGACGGGTCTGCCACGGAGCACCAGGCTTTAGCCTCTGTTTTCCCCGGTCTAGCAGCTGCGGCCCAACTGCCCCGGAAAGCAGCAGCTACAGTAGTCCCTGCACGGGTGCGTGGGCTCCGGGAGAGCACAAGCCACTGCGGTGAAACGTGCCCCTGAAGAGCATGCCTGCTCGGCCCCAGGCGTGTGTCCCCGGGGCGTTGTTGTGCGGGGCAGTGCGTGGCGGGGGGTCGCATTCAGCTGTGATGGTGGCACGCGCTGGCTTCGGGCTGCCGGTCCGGCGTGGGCGCATCTTGCACCGGGAAGGGCAGTGTTTCCCGAGGAGCAGACGGGTTGGGGGCTGGGAGCAGAGAGCCTGAAGCCCCTCACTCTCTGACGGTGTGCCCCCCGACTGGACGGGGCGAATGGGGCGCCCGGGGCTCAGGACAGGGCGGCCAGGCCGGGGGCTCTGCCCGTGTCGGCGTTTTGCAGAAGTAAAGGAGCGGGCAAGAAGTTGGGTGGAAGCGGCTGGGTCTGGACATCCCGAGCCGGGCCCGCCGCCCTGGGACGTGGGTCTGGGCCTTGCAGCCGAGGAAGAGGAGGAGTAGCAGGGAGCGTGGTGGGCACGGGGCCCCTCTCCCACAGGCCAGGGTTCAGCTCTCAGGGTTCGGCCCTCTGCCGAAAGCCAGCCCCGGCTCCAAGCAGCGTCTGCGCTGGGTGCACTGGGGGGTTGTGAGGGATAGCTGTCTCTGCCCCAAGCAGCATCATTGCTTGAGCTCCCCTGGCGAGGGCTGCAAGCGCCGTCCCATGTCCCAGCCTCCCGCGGCCCCAGACCACCGCCTCTGCCCGGAGCCGTGGGGCCCTGCTGCCCTCCAGTGGCAGCTTCGTGGCACGGAGCCGTCTCCGCCCGGCTCCCCTCCGCATCCCCACGGAGCCGGGCCGGCCTGAGACTAGGACAGGCGGGCACCTGCCCCCGCAGCCCTGTCCTCTGCTCCCCGCTGTGCTGGGTTTGCAGACGGGGGTGTTTCTCCAGGCTGCCGGGAGCACCGGGCTTCTGGGTCTGGATGCAGGCCGTGGCTCCCCTCTGCGCCAGGCCGGGGTCAGGCGTGGCGTGGCATGGCCAGTGCTGCTGAGCGCCGAGGGCAGAGGGTGGAAATGCTCGAGGACCCAGAAGCGGCCTGGGCGTGTGGGCGCTTTCCCCCTACCCTGCCCCGCACCCGTCGGGCCACTGCCGCCCGTTGAGCAGAGCCGGCAGCGACGCCCCGGACCCCTTCCTGGGGTGCAGGGCGGCACGGTCCCTCCTCCCAGGGCCGCGACTTCCTTGCAGTCATCCCCAACGATGCCCTGAATAACTCGGGTGGGTGCAGACTTCGTTAACCTGCAGGCTGCTGGAAGCTCGCAGGGCCTGGCTCTCGCCCTCGTCCCAGAGGGCATCAGGTTTCCTACCCGGCCACTTGCCACCTGCCCAGAGGGCGCCCGCAGGCTCCGGGGTCAGACGGCGCCATGTAGGGTGTGACACGCCGTTGGGTCACTCGTCTCGTGCATTTATGCCTCGGTGACTAACGACATCTCTGTTTCTCTCTCCTTCCCCCCCGTGTGCTTGCGCGGTCCCACGTGCAGTTCCATGTGTCATTTGTCTCCATAAATCATCATTCCTTGTATCCCACCGAAGCATCACAGTCCATCCGACCCACCACGGCATCAGCATGGCCATCTCATCACGCCTCGCACTGTGGGAGCAAAAGGAAAGTGAGGACGTGTGCGTCGCGTGCCCGGGCCGGGGGAGCTCGGCGCGCCTAGTGGGAGGCAGGGGAGAGCTCGTCGGGATGAACTGTGGTTTCCAAACAGGGGCAGCCACGGGGGCACGTGCTCGGCTCTTTATTCCTCTGCTGCAACTTTCCCCCTGGAAGATTTGGCATTGCACAGTAAACGCTTGCACGCCTCTCCCACCACTGTCCCGCTGCCCTTCGCTGACGCCCCTTGCGGGTGCGCTTGCTTCTGGCTTGCAGGGAGGTCACTTCTGTGGTGCTGCTTTCGCTCTCCTGCCTGGAGAAAGGTCGGCCGCTCGTAGCAAACCCCAGGTCGAATGAGCCGGTTCGGTGCATGTGGATAGTGCGGTAGGGGCCAGGCCACGTGTGGGTCCGGGCGGGGCGTTTGGCTGAAGCCTCCCAGCCTCCTCCTTCCTCTAACACCAGGAAGTATTTTCCAAGCTCCGAAAACAGCCAAGGGAGAGTTTCTGTGAGTGTCCACAAAGGCCACGTCCCCTGTGCAGGGAGCCCAGAGCCTGCCGGGGGAGACTCTCGCTCCCATCCGATGTTGCAAGGAGGTGACGATGCTTTGCAGCGGCCTGGGTTTGCTTTCCAAAGCTGGCAACAAAACTGCTTGATCCCTACTCAGACTTCACCTTCTGGGTTGCCCGAAGGTTGGCACTCCCCTCCAGGAGGACGGGTACCAATTCATCCGCCCCTTCATTGTGCCAATCAATTAAAGTTAAACAAAGGATAAGAAAATAGAATTACGTCTTGTTCTGGATGAACTTTGGCTGGGGGGGGGGAAGGATGCTGGAGACTTCTCCCCGGGTGGAGCTGCAATGATGAGAGCCAGAACAGGAGAGCGAGCTAACGAGGCGCCGGCAGGTTTGCGCTGGCACAAGAAGCAGACTGCGCCGGCCAAGTCTGTGCCAGGGCCGTTTTGGAGGCGCAGAGGGGAGTTTCTTTGCTCGTTGGCTGCCGGGCTGCTCGCTGTGCTTCTGCGGAGCCTCCTCCCCCAGGCTTCAGCACAGCGGGGAGGGTTTCCTTGAAGGCCCTTCCGCTGGTAAAGAAATCGGTGTTGCTCTCCCGGCCTTCGGGGCAAAGCCTGCCCCCCGCGCAGTCTGTATGGGGCTTGCGGGGGCCCACCCCAGCTCTCCCACCCGCACCTCTGCAGCCTGCTGTTT